GTCTTAATGACGATGACATCCTGGCCTTTCCCACCAGGTGTCACTGCGAAGTCACATAAGAGAATCTGTTGGTGATAACATAAGACGCAGGCAGAATGAAGATTAATCAGGCACACGAATCATCGCTGAAAAAGAGTCTTTTTTCACTCCTCCTCTTGCTCCCTAGCCAAAAATAAAGCATAGCAACACCGCTGTGCATTAAGCTCAATAGAGAAGAGTATCAATTTTAAATGATGGAGATGTATAGCTCATATTGCGTAAGAGTTTTAAAAGCGTGCCATGTAAGCTGGGGCTGGTGTTTGGCTGCCAGGTGTGGTTCTCTCTGATGTGAGGATGAGGAGAAGTCCAGATGAGACATCACAGCGACGGTGTCAGGACGAAGTCTGGAACGGGGATGCTTACTTTGAGATGATCTTTCGAGACTTACATGACAAACCCTTCTGATCGCTCTGACAGTGACATGAGATGAGGGAGTAACTCACGTGCAATTCTTCCTTTTGCAACCAAAGTCCCTGAAAACCAAAAATGTGTCCCGCAGACCAAGCTGCAAAATAGTTTCTAAGGGACTACTCTTGCATCTGAGGACAGATGCAGCAAAACACAAGGAAAACCCTCAGTTTCACACTCTATGGGTGGGATAGGACCATCAATAGGTGAAAATTCTTCCTTCCTCTCCCACTGGTGCCAGGAGCACACACCACCGTGTTGCATCCTGCTTGCCCATGATTTCCAAGCGTGCACTTAGCAGAAGAGCATCACTCCAGAAGTCGTCTACCTCTATCTGTGAACACAGACTTGCTCAACGGAGGTCACACCAGGACTTTATTGCAGTGCAGCCCAGAAAAGGTCCCTGTCCTGCTCAGCAAAGCCATGTAAAGGGACCCCGAATTACCCTGCTGGGGTGTCCCTGGTCTGGCAGCAGCACGCCAGCATGGAGGGAGATTGTCCTGCCCCTCTCCCCAGGATTCAGCATCACACAATCCCAAACTCAATGAGCTTCCAAACTGCAACACAGGGACACCACAACCTTCTCGGTCACTTAGCGGGATCACGCAGGTGACCTCTGGCAGAGCCCCTCGCTGCGACCCTTTCTCACAACATCTGAACAGTCTCTCCAAGTGCCTGGTAGCAAGTGAAGATACTTTAATTACACCATGACAGAATTCATTTCTGTTCAAGAGTGCTCTAACAAAGTGCTTAAATGAAATTAATTTTACCTGCACTTTACTTTTTAAAAGGTACATTACTTTACTAAAAGTACTATACATATAAAGAACATATAAATACTCTTATCCTATTGCTTTGAAAGTACTTTGTGCTATATCACCACTTGTTTTAAAATTATCTTTAAGCCTTATTGTTGCTAAAACACATTCTCAAACCAACAACGATCATACAGCACACTGAAATATAAAACACTCTGCTGGTGCTATGCATTTAAATGCTTAGCTGGTTTCAGCTGCAGAACTTTAAACTCTTCTATAGGATATCACTCCACTTTAGTATAAGCATCTATCAGGCACAGCTCTGAAAATGTTAAGTCAGACTATGAAAACATTGTCAATGCTTATTTTAGTAATAAAAACCATGTTTAATCTATACTTTCATGTTACAGTAATCTATGTATCAATCTATAACCTTCCAGCTAAATGCACTAAGTAGATTAAGCTCTGATTGATCTGAAATGTTTTTCACTATATTATAAAAAGTCTACAGATCAGCATAAATACCTCAAATAAATCTTTTCCCCTTTGGCAGATTTACAAAAGCAGAGCTTAACTGGAATTGAAATGAACTTCTGCATTTTTCCAGGGCAAAAAGCCTGTCAAATCTACTCTAGATCTGCTCTGCTTCCGGACTTAGTAAAAACCTGTGATTAATAGTACAGTGCATCTATTCTGTCGTGACAAAAGCAATCACGTTATGAAGCAAAGCGTTCCCTCTGGGTCTACCATTCATATGAAGCACCAGGAGTTACCCCAAATGGTGGCAATGCTGGGACTGTCATCTGCATAGCGCACTGTGCAAACAGCTCTCAGAAAAGGTGGGGCGGATTTTTGTTGATGTGCTCTTGCTGATTACAATAAAAGACCTTAAAAATTGGCTTCCTCAAAGAGAAAACACCAAGTTGGTTGTTGTTGGGGTTTTTTGCACTGCGTTTAGGGAAAGTGAGAAGCAGGTCGTGAGCTGTCGCAGTAACCCATCGGGTGCTGCGGGGAGGCTCGGCTGCCGCTGCTGGAAGTGGTGAACTTCAGCAACAAAAAGAGCACGCGAGGGAAGAGGAGTGTGCTGAACTCTCTGTGATCCCGTTTCAGCGTTTCTCACAGCTCCTTTGCAGACTATCTGCTGATGATGGCTGCACAGATGGAATGAGATTTCTACATATGCTCAGCATCCATCCCAGTAGCTCGCTGAGACGGCGGCAATGCAAACAAACATGGGGCTGAACATCCCACCCAGCTCTGTTAGAGAGGGGGGGAAGACACGTCTGCAAATGTCAGTGGGAAGGGGGGAAGAGGAAAAAATATCCCTGAGACGGCAAATTTCAATCTTTGCCCAGATTTCAAGCAACTCCAGTCCGGTAAGTTTGGATTTAAAATGTTGTTCCAGTTTATCCCACCGAAGAGAAGGCACCCAAGAAAAGGAGAGAAACTGGAAAATTAAAGGTGCCGATAAAAGTGTGTCGGCAGAGCGTCGCAGCTGCTGCTAAGGTTCACTTCAGCCTCACTGACAATGATGCCCGAATTCCCATGGACTCCGGCGGGGAGGTGTCATCCACCTCCCAGTGGTCCTTACCCATTTACCACCATGCAATACCCAATTTCTTCTGGGATCCTGCTCCATCCATCCGTGCATGCAGAAAGCTGACATCTGAACACTGCAGACCCATCCGATCCCACGGCCCCACAGCTTGTTCAAGCATCTGCCACGAATCCTCAGTCCTGACTCCGGTCCCAGGTTTGCCTCCATGAGGACTGCACAAGTGACATAGTGCAAGAGAAGGAGCTCAGCTCAGACAGTCCAGCTCTGGATTTGATTTTGGATTCTGCACCCCATCACTTGGGAATGTTTATATCTCAGGTTTGCCTGTGGGTCCTTCTACACCTTGCTGGTGAAGTAAGAGAAGTTTTTATTTCAATATAAACTGGACTTGGACACAAAGTGATGTTTCCAAAGGGATGCTATATCCTAATTTCTGCAAAACCTACTCCCAGTGAATAGCAGGTTCAGTGGTCCTGCTCTGTACATGCTGCTCAGACAGGTTACAGAACCCGGCTTGGTATAACCAGACTGTATTTGATCACACGTTCATTTCTTATCCCAGTACATTAACATAAAGTTAACAAGAAAGTTCTTTATGAAGGACAAACCTGAAAGTCAATGTCAGCCAAGAAATTGCCTGAGCAATCCCGTAATTGAATAAAAATATGTGTCAGCAAAACAAGTGTCATCATGGGCTGGCCGGCATGCTTGGAGTTCACCGGCTTGACAAACTCCTCTCAGCATGGTGCTGTGTGCGGGACTCTACGAGAAGACCTTATGTACTAAATGATGTTTATCAGCAAAATACTGGTACTAATATGCATATTTGACCTACAGAGTCAAACAGGCCTGCCCACAACTTCAGCAACAAATTAATAAATAAAGAAAAACTAAAGAAAATTAGCATTTTGTAACTTCTTAGCTATTCCTCTGGTTACAAAGTGCTTCACAAGGAGGACATTCACTTGTAAATATTCCATGGTACAGTATAAACACACATTTAAATATCAAAAGTAATCTAAACTGCTATCAGATTTTTCCACTGATGTGTTTGATGAGTTTGTACACTGATTTATGGGACCAGCTTCTCTGGGAGTCGCAAACAAAATAATTTATTTTAATTCCCTCATTTTTGAGCCCACCAGCCCCAGCTTAGCTGTGATACAGAGCAATTTATGGAGTGATTCATATTTTTACACCAAGTAATGGTGAATGGCATTTTACAACTTATTCTGTTCCATTAAGCCTCAAGGAAACTGGGAGCAGCCAACAGGGCACAGTTAATAGATATATCTGGACACTTCTTTCTGTAGAGGTAAGAAAAACTTGGGACTATGCTGGGACCTGCAGGAGAAAGTGTGACTTTAGAGGGAAACTGTGTCACAGGAAAGAGACACTGCCAGGTCCCAAACCCAGGATCCTTGTGAAAAGGAACTGCTGGCAGCATTAGCCAGCAACAGAGAGAGGGATGCATGTTGTGTACGTTATACATATATATGTTTTTTATATATATGTCATATATAGATTTTAATTTTAATTCTGATAAAGTATTAGCTGAAAAGCCTATAACATCCCCCAAAAGAACTGGGGGTGGCTGGGATCCTTTCCTAAGTTAGCGAGCAGGTGAGATTATTTTGCAAGCAGCGGCTCACAGACACCTAAACGGCCATTTGCCCGCTGAAAGGACCAAAGGAAAGCAGTGCTCCAGCGATGACCCTCTACTCCATCAGGCCCATTTTCAAGGGAAAGAAGCCAATTACTGTGAGGACCTGTCTGCTTTTAGAAAATTTTTAGGTAGCAGGACCTGGGCAGCTTCCAGGGACCACCTAGTGCTGTGGAAAACAACCAATCAAGTAAAATTGTTTCCTTGCTCCTTCCTTTAAAATAAAACCCCTTTCCCTCCCCATTTCTGTCCTTTTCTGTGATTTGAAAACTGGCATGTCTTTGAGTGATTGCAAGTGCCATTAAATAATGAAGCAGTTCTGTTCATTAAAGCTTGGTGATTTATTACCTTTGGACTAACGGAAAGAAAAACAGCCTGAAAACAGAATTCTTACATCATTTCACATTATTTCCAGTCCAGCACTTCAGACAACTGTTAGAATAGCAGATTTTCAGCTCCGTGGTCCACCGGTCCCCAGAAATGCAATGCTGAACGTCTAATTCCAGCCAGTTCTGTAAATCTAGAGCGTAACTTAAACTCATAACTAACTGCTGCCCTAAACGTCGTGTCCTACCTTCGTACAGCCAGTCGCTGAGCCCATTGAAAATAACACCTTCCTTTCCTGTGGAGACCACTCGGATGGCTTGTTTCCCCACATGGGCACAGTAATAGATGTTATTCTCAAAGATAAATATCTGATTTGAAGGGAAAAAGAAAAGAGAACAGCATTAAGCAGTGGCTCCATTATAAAATGTTGCATTTTGCTTTTACAATAATTGGCAGTACAAAACCACATATCACATTTTTATAGTGTCTTTTGTCAAAAAAGGATTTCCACAGCTTGCTTCCAATGCCATCAACTAATAGAAAGATGCTAATTTACAACAAACTGAAGCCTTGGTCCTTTGATACAAGCTTTATTTTTCTCGGTCCTGTCTTCATTTCAGAAATTGAACGGTGCAGTTAGAGGGCATGAAATGAAGAATGCCATCGCTCAGGATTTTGAAAACGTGGCTCAGTAGCAGTTTGCAGAGCTGATGTTGATGCTGTGTGGGGACTGAACTGGCTACTGGAAATGGCTTCTTGCTTGTTTCCAGCTGCTCCTGCTTCCTTAAAACACAGCTGGCAATCTATTACATAAATCTGAATCCAGTTTTTAATGCAGATCCGACAAGACAACATGTGCTATTGAATAGGGGGCAGTCTATGTCACGGCAGCACGTTGGCCAACAAGGCACGAGGAGGTTGGTGTTTCGGCTGGGAAGCAGGTGCACATGCTCCAAAGGACCCGAAGGGGTGTGCCAGACCTCCCGCCCTGCCCTGGTCCTCAGGTCACCTTCCTACAGGAACCAGGGTGGATGGGACAAAGGCACCCATGGGGTCTCACCTCCCTGCCAGCATGGATGCAGCCACCATAACCCCCAGCCCATCTTTGGAAACCTCTCCCCTCCTGTTGCAAAAATCTAGTGGATTCAGGTTGCTGAAAGATTACATGATCAAAATGCTATGGGACTTCACAGCTCCTCGGGAGGGCAAGGGCAGGCCCACACCAAGGATCGCCATCAGGTACCTAAGCCTGCCTCTGCAAACGCCTGCTCACACAGCTGGTGCTGTCTGTGGGAAAGCAATTCCATCTTGGACAAGAATTTATAAATATAAAATTCTTATCAATCATAAAAATTTCAATTCAAGATTGTCAGGAAAGGAGCCTAACATAAGACTCCGAAATAAGCCTCCTGTTTTTTTTTAAAGCCAATTTCATGCAAGTCGTTAGATCTATTGCTATGAGAATGTTTTTGGGAATCAGGCTGTTCATTTAGGTGTTTAAGCGCTGATCAGTGAGCAAAACTTTAGCCAGCCATTTAAAAAAATATTGTTCCATGGCATCAGTCTTTATCATCTGGTTAAATGCTATGTTCTGTGTTTTGCTGTCATTGATGACACAGATCCCCAAAGTGAACTTCATCCTGCTCAAAGTAGTGCTCTTGTTTTTAAAACATTTTTAAACTCCATTCAGACTGCAAAGATGTACTGAACAGGGTATCAGAAAGCCATTTAGACTGAAAGACGAACTGTTAATATAATTTAGTAGACATTTACAGATGGGTTTTTATACACTTGAAGATACTGGAATAAATGTTAGGTATCTTTACCACGATACTAGAATGCAATTTCTCATGTTACACTCATGAAAAGACGGAATTGGGAAAAATATTTGCTTTCAGCTTCTGTTTCACATCCTGTTACAGTATGTGTTTCACCTAAAGATGGGCTGGAAAGATACCAGAAGAAAGTGTACATCCTAATTTAATTTTGGCAGCAGTTGTAGCGAGTTTGTCTAAAGGTAAAAAGTATGACTGAAACTGTAGCTTGTTTTTATTCCTTTTAAACTAAGAAAAGCTGCATCCAATTAATAGTTTTTGAAAGCAAAAAATATGTTGTGGAAGATACTACATTCTCTTTCTCACCTTGATTTTTAGGAAGCAGAGGAGCCAGATGAGGGTTGCTAAGTAAAGAATTTTGTGTTAGCTAGTCTGCATATGGGAGGGTTGTTGAAGCTTAAATGTACATAAAAATCAGGAAGACTGAGCAGAATAAGATACTTTGGGCCCAAACAAATCCAAATCTCTGTGTCCAAAAGCTAAATGTGCTGGGAGTGCTTGGACGGGGGGTCTTCTGCGACAGGCACACAATCAAGTGGAGTTATTCAAGCAATGCAACCCTTCCCTTGCCCAGATTCTCCCAGCAAATGAAGGTTTTGTAATATTTTGTACTGTATTAAATTTTAAATGAATTTACAGGAAAAATAAAGATTGACAACCTGTTCCTGCCCTTTGCTTTGTAAAGCATTGCAATGTTTTCTGTCTTCACTGTTTTGTCTTTCAAAGCTTCATTGCACTAATCAGGCTGCATGAGGTGTCCAGTAGCTGCAATGGAAAAATAATATAGTGCTCTGACTTCAAACTGTCTCCCATACAATTCAGAGCCAAACTGCAGCACCTCATAGAGAATTTAAAATTATCCTCCTAACTACAGTGCCTTGCACCCTAAAAATGTCAGCCATAATCAAGATAAAAGATAACTGAAGCAGCACAAGGAAGACTTCTGTGTAATGTATCTTATAATTTAAGAAAAAGCTTTTGAACTTCCGTTATTAATCAAAAAGAAATGTTTTTGGATTACTTCACATTCTGGGTTAGAAAGATATTAGATGACATTATGAAATACCTATATAATGTTTTTTACTGTTTTGGTTTTATGACATCAAAGCAGTGCTTTCTATCAAATGACCACAATCCTTTCAGCTAATTAGAGGAAAAGAAATTTTAGTAAAGAAAAATAATAAAAAAATGTATGGACATCACTTTCACATTATTTTATGCTTGCTTTACATAGCAGTTCTAGACTAATGTAAAATGACAACAGAAGGAGTCAAGCTCAGTTTTATGCCTCTCTGTACAAGAGACAAAGACCAGACACAAAATTTCTGCTGTCTTCTCTTTTGGTGTGCAGATTTGAGCAAGACTTTAACCCCAGCATTCTTGCTATATATATGCTTTTTATCAGGGAGAACACATAAAGTCCAACACTGAGCACAACTAATGGCATAGAAAATAAACCTGTGCTATGTCAGGAAAATACCCCCTCGTTGAATACCATGTCCGTTTTCATCATGTCACATTCAACCCAGAGGAAAGAGAAGATATTCTGAAAGAAGTAAGAAGAATGGAAGCATCCATACATAGATTGAAGAAACTGAAATTGCTAACTCTGTAGAATAAAAAAGGAAGACATAAGCTCTACGAGATAATGGAGAGGAAACAGAAAAAAGGAAAAGGACGTTTTCACCCTTTCATTTCTCCAAAACAACAGGGAAACCAATGAAACCTAGAAGAAAGCTGTTTAAAAATGGATAAAAATATTTTTCCTAATGAAATCAGAATTAACACACAGAACTCCTTGCCACTGGATGTAACAGAAGACAAGAACTTCATTCTCTACCTGCTGGATGTTATAATAGACACTCGAAAGATGAAATACTTAACAAAGATAACTGGAACATCCAGGGGGACTAAGACAAACTTTGTTTTTTGTGGTTTTTTAAAAATGCATTCACTTAATCCCAGGGTAATAAAAATCAATGGGGATTTTGCTGTTGGCTTTATGTGGCTCAGGATGTCACCTGAAACTATCAGCATAAGATATAACTGCTTTAGTCTCAGGTATCAACACACCACTAATTCATGTGGGCTGGGGAGAAATCTCTGCCTGTTTGCAACTTGTATTAGAACTGATTACTTCAAACCATTTGACAGCCTTGTGTGACATGACTAATATTGGAGAAAAAATACTAGACTGGTTGGACCACAAGCCTGAGACAGGAGGAGAACTTTAAGTCAAAGATTAAGTATTTATCCAGTAAGATAAATTTATACAGTAAGGTAAATATTTAAACTAAAAACAAAATAAACTTAATTCACTTAAAACATACAAGAGCCTTAACAACACTGGCTGATTTAAGGAGGATTTGTTTAAAATATTTTTGCAAGTGCTTAAGGGCTTCTGAATTAATGTTCTCTACCAAACTGACCCAGGGTGGTATTTAGTAATTATGCTGCAGTAATTAAAATACTGGTACTTTTGAATGGATTAATTTATGGACCTTTCCAGGAATCTAATGAAAATAATCTCTTTAAGACCACTGCAAAAGTCACAGTGACCAACTATTTTGAGCAGATGAATACTACACCTTCTCTTACAGTTGTTCAACCCACCTTCCTTCCAGCCAAAGAGGTGAGGGAAGTTCCTGTTTCTTCACAGACCAAGAGAAAATAAAGTCATACACATTAATCTGCATTTTTACTGCTTCTATTTATTTTCCAACTGTAGGGTGGCATTCTAAGTTTATGTTCTCTTTACCCTGTCATTTCTAACATGTATAAGTTGTCAACTGAATGAGCGACATCACTCAGATTTAGCATCTCCAAGCATAAAGTTAACGCCTGGATGCTTATTACTTTAAATTATTAGCACATTGTAGAAGTGTGAATGTTTCCTACAAATTAGAAGGCAGCCTTCCACACTGCAAGGCCAGCCCACAGGATTAGTTAACATGGAAAGGTTGGCCATTTAACATGGAGAGTTTTGTCAACAAGAATGGGCCTTCATGTATAGACAAGCACAAAGTCTTGCCTTGACACTGTTTTAAATTCCAAATCAGTCCAAACTTCCTTGGAGGCTGAAAAAAAGAGTCACAAAATGGAAGACTCAGTGAGTGAGGAAATATAACTACAAATCAACATGCTACTCTCTCCTCATCCAACATAATGTACTTCATTGTTTTCCGGTTTTAATGTTAAAGCCTTCTTTTATTTTTTTCTCCTCGTGTAGAAGTCTGCTCTTTTGCTGGCACACCAGTTTACCTGAGGGTGTATTCTGCAGAATAAATAAAATAACAGATTCATTTTCTAATTCTGTGCATCTCTCAGAAATGCTTATATTTATTTTGCAGAATCAATAAAAAATATCTGTGTAAAGGTAATTATCCATGGACTTCTCTGCTGTAGTTGCTGAACAAATGCACAGAAAAGACAGTCCTTACTCCAACAGCGTATCATTTTAACAGACAGAGAAGTACTACTGTTCCCATTTGACATGTGAAAAAATGAGAGACAGAGACAAGATTCAGTTGCCC